GGATTATGAAAAATATCTGAATGCTAATTGTAAGAAAGTAATATAAGCCAAATAAAAAGTATTTGCAGGTATGGTTACACCGCGCAGTTTGTCTGTCCCAATACCGGTGCTCCGCGATGGCGGACATTAATAGTCGCTTATTATTGTATTTAACGCTAAACACTATCGACTGATACTGTATATTTATTTATAGTATAATTATTTTAATAAGTCAATAATTAGAAAGTAATTGGAGGCTAATACACCAAAATATTGATATAATTCATAACTACTAGTTTCAAACATGTTATAAACGGTGTAACCAATGAGCGGTCCGGTAGACAGTCTCTCGCAAAATAGCATTAATTCTGTTCGCACTCGTAGTGCTAATACCGGTGCTCCCAATATATACGTCACTAATATATTGTAGGGTTTGTGAGCGGCCTTTGATAGAAAAATGATCGGGAGCATGGCAATCGTGTAACCAATCGTGGTGATTATATAAACTAAAATGATTACCACCTTAGGCAAATATTGCGTAATATATTTATAAGCTACTATCAACAATGCTTGCATGCTAATCGACAAAAAGTAATATAACCCGAATAGATACAATTGAAACGTATGATTGCATTGGGCTACCTGTCGGTCCCAATACCGGTGCTCAACAATAGCTGCTATTAATAATCTATTGTTACGGTAGTTAACGGCAAATACGATTGATTTATGTATTTCCACGAATTTATATCTCATATAACATGTTACCAATAAATACGCCCAAAGTGTGTACAAAAAGGGTATTGCTGAACTGGCCCCTATTTCGTGGCCCTTAGCCCATTGGCCCACTATTACAGGGAAGCCTACCTAACCTAACCTATCACACTTAACAGGCATTGCAGTGAAGCCAACCCAGTCTTGCAGTGAAACAAACCAACTTGTAGTATAATTAAGTTAAGTTTGGTTAGTTAGCTTTCCTGTAGTGGTGGGCCAAGGGCCACGAAATAAGGGCCAATTCAGCAAAACCCGTACAAAAAATACGCAATAACGGTAAAATAGCCGATAAACAAACATGTACCATAAACCATTATCACCGTTAATATAATTAAACTAGGCGATTCCAATATTTTAAAAATTGTAAATGCTAGTCCATTGGCCGTGAGTACAACAATGGCTAAATAGTACCCGACCCTTAAAATATGGCTAACTACAATTGCTATTTTGTTTAACATAGTAACGTAAGCATTGTTCAACAATAGATATTCAAATGACCCATACTTAATGTGATACATAACAGCCTTGTAGTGCATACAATGTGTTAATTCGTTTGTTAATGAAACACATTGTAAGTATAAAAATGAAAATAATACCAAAGTTGCATCATCGTATAAAAGTGTCTCGTTCACTTTGAGGTATGTACCTAGGTCAAGTAATTTGGCTAAAGAGTTATAGCCCAGTGCTGCTGAACTAGTTGCCATCATAATTATTAATATTAATATTTGAACCGCGATTGCAATTACGAGACGTTTTTGTTGGTATTTATGGGACACGTACTCATCGCACGACTCATACAGTGAACAGAATTTTGCTGCAAAAAATTTGTCCATTTTCTTGATTTCCACCCCAATATCGGCGTTATTGTAATTATAGACACATTTCTTAACAGTTTTTTCATATAATCTAAGAATTAATGGAACCATTGTTTAATAAACAATATTATAAAATTATTGTTAGCAAATTAATTTATTAAAATACTTTGTAAAACTTATCAATGAATACTATACCACTGTACCGTATGAATTATTTAATTAATTATATTATCTAAACTAAAACACTATATTGATTACATTAAGTTCAATAAACTAAATATACACAATGACATTTGTTATAAATATAATTTACAAATATCGATATATGCTCTAAATATGTATTGCACCCTGTACAATGAACTTATTTTTGATTTATTTTATTAAATTAATTTTCAATTACACACATTTATATTGATATATTAGATATGTTTTGATACAATAGCGTTTTAATTGAATTAGTTGCACATTTGTTTTATTTAATGACCTTTTATATTGTTTAATATAGATTATTATTAGTGATATAAACACGTTTTGCTTCAAATATATATTAAAATTTAATGAGAATCTTTAAACATGTTACATTTAATAAAATTTAATCATTGTAAATAATATAAATTTTTGCTTATTTAGACAATTATTTTGTAATATTAACAAAATTAAAATAAAAATTATTTTAGCAATAATGTAAAAACACATAAATTATTATCTTAAAAAGATACAAATAAATATATTGTTCATAAAAACATATGTGAGAATTAAAACACATTAAAAATTATTTGAATGGTTCATCATATAAATTAAATATTTTATTTATCGAGGTAAATATCCCCAAAAATTTTATATCACTAGTAGTTTAAACAATTGACATTTATATGATAGCGTAAAATATTATTTTAGTATTAGTTAAGCTAATAATTTTTAATTTTTAAAAATGGCTCATGGCATTTAAAGTTTAAATGATTAATATTTATTTATTTCACGCGATTAGTTATCAATAAAGTTAATTACTATAAAATAAATTTATTAGATAATTACTTGTGTACCATAGATAATTTGTAAACTGTATTTTAAATTATCTATGTCATTCGTTTCCAAACACGAATCGCCATATTCGAGGCCTAACCTCACCACCAGTTGTATAATATCTACGACACCATGAATCTGAACTAAAACTCCCTGACCACGCATAATCACTGAATCCGTTAACAGGAATAGTTATATTATCAGAGCAACTATTACCAAAATAACTATGCAGTTCTATATTGGTAATCCTTGGTGCATTATCGCCTTGAACATTTCCAAATGTATCAGCTCCACCACCATCAGCACGAAAAATAAGCCAGCATAATCGGGGGATATATCTTTCCACGTCATCCATGGCCACAGATCTGTTGGTGTTTTATCATTCGGGAACTGTACATATATGAAGCCTATAGGAAATGGATTCTTCGAAATAATCAACAATGTTTTCTGTAGTTGCGCGATTGACCATGTTTGAAGTTTTTGAACAGATTTTTACGTGCGCAGGGTACATCGGACCATTTACCAAATAAAGTTTCATCGGATAGTATTTGTACACATTTGTCCGTTTTGTTTTTAGAACTACCCGTTGCCCAGTTTGAATAAACAAGGTCCGTATTGTCGTCCCATACGTATTTGTTAGTGACATATTTTAGCCCGATCCAAATGTCATTGATTATTTTATTAGTTTTGAATAAGTTTACTATGAAATCTTGCTCCTCGTCATACCGAATTGTGATCAAATCAGCAGTGTCACTTTGGTTCATGCAAAATGTTTCAGCATCGGTAATTTTGTAGTCCAACAGTGTCAAATATCTTGAAACATTTTTCATCCTTATATGGTTCCCAATCACCACATGGTTTGTCAATATTTCTGGCGTTTACTGTACATTCAGTATATTTTAATTAGTTAATAGTATAAATTAAAATTTAGTATATTACCTGAGTATGAGTAGAATAAAATTAAATACACAAAATGGATGTAGTTCATTTTGAATTTTATATTTCGTACTGAAGTAATAGTATTTTATATTAATTAACACAGATTTTATATAGAATGTCGTATGGGAATATTGTAACATGTCATTAGTAATCTAATAGGATCCATGTGAATTTTTATATATACTTTATATTGCCAAATTACAATTTATTGTTATTATGAAATGTGTGCAAAACTTAATATTAATTTTATTAATTTATACCATATTTTATAAATTAATCATATGATTAATTTTACTTTTACCATAATAGTATTTTAGATTATTGTTTCTAGTTTTTAAATAAATATTTGTAAGAATAAACATATTATTAATATTAATTTCACTCAGATTATTTTATATTAATATGATAAGAAAAATATTATTTTATAAATGATTATTAATAATTATTTATTATTTATCTAATTAATTAAAAATATATTTATTACAATTCCTTATACATCCATTATATATCATCAGTAAATGGTTTATCTAAGTATCTAGCACCTATTTATATTATAATTTAACAAATTAATTATATGGTAATAAATACATAAAATATTTCTTTACATAACTGCAAAAAATATAAACAAAGTCAAAATAATAACTGTAGATAGGTCATTTTTATAGAATGATTAATAATTTTTTGTTTTGTTTCAAAATGTATAATATTTAATGCGAATTCCTACACATGCTACAGTTATTGGAGTATAATCAATGTAATTTATATATAAATTTTAAATTTAGGTAGACAATTATTTTATATTATCAATAAAATTAATTAAAAAACTAGCGATAATATTAAGTAGACTTTTGATTAACTAAACAGGATAAATATAATATAATTCTGCAAAATTTATCTAATTTTTATTTCATTTATTACTAATATGAACACATAAAAATATTTTATTTTATTATCAAAATAGGAAATAATATTGTTATAAAATTTTAAATAAATATCTATAAGAAAGAACACTTTGAAATAGTTATAAAATTTATTTCTATTATTTTATTATAGTAAAAATATTGCATAATAAAAATTACAAATTATTTTAAACCTTTTGTAAATTATACTTATTTTGAAGTTCTAGTTTTAGTATCATTCAAAATTTTTATTGAAAAATATTTTATATTTTAAAAGTTAAATAATGATATTGAATCATTTAATTCTGAATACTTTTAATAATAATTTTAATTTCAAGTCTTTTTATTCGACTATATAAAAATTTAGATTATGTTAAAACATTAATTTTTAATTTAGCGATCATATGTAATAATTAAAATTTTGTTTGACGTTTTTATTTATAATATTTGTTTTAGAATATTTAATATCAAATTATCATTTTAATTAATGTTTTAAATATTTGTAACAATTTTTCATACATTTCAATCAATTAATTTGTTCATGCTATTTATACCAACCGTTTATTTATATTTATTAAAATTCCTTTACATAGATAAATTATTATATTATAATCAAATTAATATTTATATTTAATTTTGGTTGACATAATTTAAATCACCAAGCTGCATTCTTTTGAATCGTGTTTATAATTCTTGCACCTTTTGTTTTCGAGGGCTATCATTTCATACAGATACCATTGATCCAGCTCCTCTCCCCCATTACCACTGCATTCGTCCTAAATTAATTAATTTTAAACAGTTAATTATATGAACCGGGTAATAATTAAAATATGGCATATCATTTTTATTTGGGATTGACTTTAAGACCCGGTCGGACCCAGACCCAGTCAATGCGAGAGAGCGCCATTATTTGGTTTAGAATTTAGTTAATTTAGTTCACTATTTAGTTAATTTTGTTCAACATTTAGTTATTTAGTTCATTTATTCAGTGATAAAACTTAACTAGTATCACATCATTAATACATTCAACATTTACTGCAAAAAATCCATGCTTTCAAATCACGTGCTTTAATCACATGATATTGTTTATGAAACCTGGAAAGAGATTACACCTGGTATGTAAATTAAGGGATTAAATGTAGATAAGAGCGAATAATTTTGCGCTGATTTGTGTGCTAGGTTATTATAATGATTGTGGACATAAATTATTTAACAAGGACAAAACATTACATGCTAGCTTATTAGAAGTGATAACTAATATAGTAATTTTAATTGAAATTAAAAAACTGTCTGTATGCTCTAATAATTTATATAAAAATTATTCATATTAAAAATATTATTAAAATACTACCTTGGGTATCTCCATAGAGCATTTGATGGTCTCAAACTCCGAGCAACATTCATCGTAATCCTGGTCACCCGACCAGTGTTTTTCAGCCTCATCACTGCATTTGTTAAATGTACTGTATCCAATTTTATTCACACATTGCTGAGCATCAGACGTCATGGGTATTGCGTCGGTATTCATAAATAATGATAATGCAACTAGTACAGTTAGTGTAGTTGGATTCATTGTTAATTTGTTTAATACATTATAGTGGTAATTACATTGAGCGTATTACTATGTTAATGAATTATGTATGAATTTTAGGTATTTTACGATATATTTATGTGTTTTACCATGTCTAGAATTTCATAATAATTATAATAATTCATAATAATTGTTTTTATTAATAAAACATATGTTAGTGACTAAATTCATATTAACTAATATCGGCTGATTACGGTATTTTTGAATTACTTTTAAATTCATAAATAGATTTTTATTTAATAATATAATGAACTGCAATGTGTTGAAAGGAGACATGTATTGAGCGTTTGTTTTGTATTTTTAATGTAACATTACGTAAAGCAAGTAATTGAATGTTAACCATAAAAACGAAAAATTATTATATAATTAATTCCTATTAACTGTTTAATGACATTAATATTATTCATAACCATAACCTAAAAATATAGCACTTATAATGGTATAACATGCTGTAATAATTTGTTGCATTGTACACAATTATAAGACTTATTAAGGCTTATGAAAAACTGATGTCCAATACTAGTATCTGATTAAAACAATTATAAAAAATTTTCGCTTATTGTTTATATTATTTATATTATAGTATATTATATACAATATAAAATTTATATTAATATAACGGCTACTGAAATGACATTTTCTAGTTGCTATTATTAAAAACTACTAGCAACAAGTGTTCAAGTTAAATGGTACAAAAATATTAACCCACTAATTACCATGCGATCCAAACACCTACTATACATACCGATGCGGTACGTGGTGGCCGGGCTGGTACTACTTGCAACCCTCAACCTATACATGTGTCGCATAAACCTAAGTATAACCATCGTAGCCATGAGTCGGTTCAACAAAACCAGTCGTTCATCGGGTAGTGATGTCTGCAATACCAACGCCTACACCACTGACCCAAACAACTCAACCAACGGCACCACTGCCTACCAGTCCCCACACGTAGAGCCCACCGGGGAGTTTGATTGGGATGAAAAGACCCAGGGTATTATTTTAGGCGCATTTTTCTACGGCTATATACTGTTTCAAGTGGTCGGCGGTAGGCTGTCCGAGATGTTTGGCGCTAAATGGCTGTGCGGTGGGGGTATAGCCGTGTCAATAGTGGTAAACGCACTGACCCCGATCATAGCCAGGTCGGGCCAGTATTGGCTATTACTGGCCAGTCGTGTAGTGTTGGGTGTGTTTCAGAGTTTTGTGTTTCCGTCCATTTATGCCCTGTTCTCGAAGTGGGCGCCCGATAGTGAGCGCAGGTATGTTACCACTGATATATCAACCAGATTGATATGATCAGGGTTATTTTTGGTGT